CGAGTCGCACCTTGGCACCAGAATTCGAGGTACAACATTGTAAACGAAATTAAATAATAAATAAACATATTGGGACTTCGGGCAGATGCTGAGTTTACCGACTGCGGAGTCACAACATCTTTCTTGTCTTCCTTTGCAACTTCTTTCTTGGCCTCTTCCTTAGGATCAGCTTCCTTGGCCCCCTCAGGGGAGGTCACGTCACGTCCTTCCCAGAACTCCTCTACCTCCTCCTCCTCCGCGGCCTCCTGGGCCATCTTTTCAAAGGCATCCTCGACTGACGAGTCGGAGCTCCTGGACTGCTCCTCGAGAAGTCTGTCCATGGCCTTGGCTCGCTTGACCGGCTGCGCTGGCGAGGCCTTCTCGTCGGCGGCTCGCTTGGCCTCCTCCTGACGCGCCTTCTCCGCTCTCTCCTTTATCTCCCGTTCCTCCTTCTCTTTCCTTTCTCTCTCCTCTCTCTCTTTTTTGGCTTTCTCTGCCCTTTCTTTTTCCTCTCTCTCTCTCCTTTCCGCCTCTTCTCTCTGCTTTCGCTCTTGCTCTTCTTTCTCTTTTCTTAATTTCTCTTCCTTTTCTCGCCTCTCCTTTTCCTCTCTCTCCTTTCTCTCTTTTTCCTCTCTCTCTCTCCTTTCTCTCTCCTCTCTCTCCCTTTTCTCTCTCTCTTCTCTTTCTTTTCGCCCTTTTTCCTCTCGCTCTTTTCTCTCTCTCTCTTCTCGCTCCTTCTTTTCCTTCTCTTCTCTTTCTTTCCTTTCCTTCTCCTCTTTTTCCTTACGTTCTCTCTCCTCCTTCTGCTTCCTCTCCCTTTCTTCCTTAGCCTTTCTCTCTAATTCCTCTCTTTCCTTTCTCTCTCTCTCTTCTCTCTCCTTCCTCGCCTGTTCTTCCTTTTCTTTCCTGGCACGTTCTTCTCTATCTTTTCGTTCTTTTTCTTCCCTTTCTCTTTTCTCCCTCTCTATACGCTCTCTCTCTTCTTTCTCTCTCCTTTCTTTCTCTTCTCTTTCTTTCCTCTCCCTTTCTTCTCTCTCTTTCCTTTCTCTCTCCTCCTTTTCCTTCCTCTCTCTTTCTTCTCTCTCTTTCCTTTCTCTCTCTTCTCTTTCTATCCTCTCCTTTTCTTCTCTTTCTTTCCTTTCTCTCTCTTCTCTTTCTTTCCTCTCCCTTTCTTCTCTCTCTTTTCTTTCTCTCTCCTCCTTTTCTTTCCTCTCTCTCTCTTCTCGCTCTTTCCTCTCCCTCTCCTCTCTCTCCTTCCTCTCTTTTTCTTCTCTTTCTTTCCTCTCTCTCTCCTCTCTTTCTTTCCTTTCTTCCTCTTCTCTTTGTATCCTCTCTTTTTCCTCTCTCTCTCTCTTTTCTCGCTCTTCTCTTTCTTTTCTCTCTTTTTCTTCCCTCTCTATCCTTTCTCTCTCCTTCCTCTCTTTTTCCTCTCTTTCTTTTCTCTCTCTCTCTTCTTTCTCTTTCCTCTCTCTCTCCTCTCTCTCTTTCCTCTCTTTTTCTTCCTTCTCTTTCCTTTCTCGCTCTTCCCTTTCCTTCCTCTCTCTCTCTTCTCTCTCCTTTCTTTCCTTCTCTTCCCTCTCCTTTCTCTCTCTTTCTTCTCTTTCTTTTCTTTCTCTTTCTTCCCTTTCCTTCCTCTCTTTCTCTTCTCTCTCCTTCCTTTCCTTCGCTTCCCTCTCCTTTCTCTCTCTTTCTTCTCTTTCTTTTCTTTCTCTTTCTTCCCTTTCCTTCCTCTCTCTCTCTTCCCTTTCCTTCCTCTCTCTCTCTTCTCTTTCTTTTCTTTCTCTCTCTTGTCTTTCTTGTTCTTCCTTTTCTTTTCTAAGCCTTTCTCTCTCCTCCTCTTCTCTTTTCTCCCTCTCTTCTTTTTCTTTTCTTTCTCTTTCTAATCGTTCTTTCTCTTTCCTTTCTCTCTCTTCCCTTTCTACCCTTTCTTTCTCTTCTCTCTCTTTCCTTTCTCTCTCTTCTCTCTCTTTCCTTTCTCTCTCTTCTCTCTCTTTCCTTTCTTTCTCTTCTCTCTCTTTCCTTTCTTTCTCTTCTCGCTCTTTCCTTTCTTTCTCTTCTCTCTCTTTCCTTTCTTTCTCTTCTCTCTCTTTCCTTTCTTTCTCTTCTCGCTCTTTCCTTTCTTTCTCTTCTCTCTCTTTTCTTTCTCTTTCTTCTCTCTCTTTCCTTTCTCTCTCTTCTCTCTCTTTCCTTTCTTTCTCTTCTCTCTCTCTCCTTTCTTTCTCTTCTCTTTCTTTTCTCTCCTTTTCTAAACGCTCTCTCTCTTCCCTTTCTTTCTTTTCTTTCTCTTCTCTTTCTTTTCTTTCTATTTCTTCCTTTTCTTTTCTTTTCCTTTCTTCTTTTTCTTTCGCTTCCTTTGCCTTACGCTCTTCTTCTTCTTTCTCCTTCTTTTCCTTCTCTAACTTTTCCTTCTCTTCTCGTTCTTTTCTTTCCTCTTCCTCCTTTTTCTTCCGAAGCCTAGCTGCCTCTTGAGCCTGTCAGACATGGCACTACATAAACTACTTGCAACTAACAAAAAGCTCAGTCACCGTGAATCCCTTCCAGCGGAGAGTCATCTGCCGTAAGTCTGGCTACTATGGCGACGTTTGAGCCCACCGATGGTTAACATCAAGACTTGTTCAGCAGGGGCATACCCAGTGGGAGATGGCGTGTTTCCGCGGGCAAATTCCTCACCTTATCTGGGAGAGAAACTTGCCCGCTCTGTTGGAATGTTACTGGCTGCAGCTCCCACTAAATAGGTACCCCTGTTGGCATTGATTATTATCTTGGCTATTGTACATCTTCACTATTTAACTAGAATACTCAAGTTTGCATCAATAATCTAGTAAGTGAATTACATATATCATATGATAGATTTATATTTTTCGGGTGATTAGAATTCAGAAAATAATTATTAGAAGTATTGAATTAAAAGTCAATTATAAACATTGTCATAAACATAAACTATCTATAGGTAAACTGATATACCAAATATATGCTACATATACAATGCATGTATGAACAGTTAGAAAACACACATACACACCTTTGCACAGATACACTCAAGTCCCTGCAAATGTGCGTACGTGCGGATGTGTACCCCCTATTCACATTCAAACTGACACACACTCCTACATATTTTTCAACATCAGTGATTTCTAAACGTCACTTGTATATCACAACAAACGCTTACTCCGTTGAAATAGCAGATTCACAGTGACCAGCAAGACAGATTCAAGAAAGTCTCACTAATCTTACAACAGAAAGCTACACTCTAGTTTCTCATCACTTAAACTATAAAGTACGATGTTGTTTATGGTCTACGAGCATGACAAGTGAGTTTTAGTTATTTAATCTGCATTTTAGCTTTCATTTTAGATTGCTCAGAGGGTTATTCTGTGTAGGTTGCGTGTTATTTTCATCATGTTATTATTGTTGTCTTTGTGGTGTTGTGAGGAAAAATAAGCAAGGAAAAATAAAAGGAAACGATGGTGAGATGGAGTGACGAGATGAATGACTTTCTTACTGCCACTTGAAACTGTTCTGATTTTGCCTCTTGTCTACTTGAAGTGAGGCCAGTCGCAATTAATTCTTAGCTAAAATACCATAATATTCAAAAAGATGATTAAATTGATCGTGGAAGTATATTAGTGTATTCATACTCCTAATTACGTATTAATGAGAACACACAGTAACTTTCTCTACGTATGCACAAACATTTGTTAGAGACGTATATTCTATGTAACGAACAAGTTTGAAAGCAGGTTCTACTTGTTAAATCAATCCCTGAGCATCGAATGAACGTTGTGACTCCTCTGTGGACAATGGGCTCGTTTGCGTTTCCATTTTCAGTTAGAGAAAATTGAGTGAGTATTGGAATTTCGGTTGCTAAAGGGGTAAAATGAGAGAGATAAAAACGGCAAATATTTTCACGAGCCCACTCACAATTTGCTCTTCAATGCGTTCAAAGGTACAAAGCACATCAAGCTATGTGCACTGAAACCAGGACTAATGGGGCACCGCTGTATCTTCTTCCCAATTAGTATTCCCTAAGTAAAACCAGGAAAAAAATAATTGATAAGACAAGAGAAAGCTTGTCACCTAAAGAAGCCCCTTGGGCTAAAATAAATAAATAAACAATAAAGAAAATCTAAGTAAATGAAGAATAAAGAAGTCAAATGCAAAAAAGAATAAAGTTTGGTATAGATTTGTTTCCTATGCCATATGGGCGCCTGTCAGAACCCATGCTACTGCGCTGCATTGACAATGGGAACACAAGACAAGGAAAGCTGATCCAATAATTTCTGTTGCAACAGCTATACAAAGTTTGAAAGTTATTCTACACCAATTTGATAGTCATCAATTAGTGACGTAAAGCGTTTTACAAAATTACCGTTGACCATTAAAAATGACAGAATTACTTGGCGCATCGCAGAGTGACAGAGCATCGGTGGTTTGATGCCAAGACGGCACGAAAGCGACAACGGAAGGTACAGCGGTGCAGATCCATGTGAGGGGAGGAAGCAAACTTGACGGAATGACACAAGTGGCCACGAAAATAGCCTTTCCTCTATATTTACTCTTTATTATTTCTTTATATGTAAATCTTGAGAATGAAAGTAGGGTTTTTCTTCTGGATGTTGTGGCAAGCTTCCGAAGACAAATTCCAGACCGAAGTCCAGAGACAGCTTTAGGAAATTGTTTTCCTTTGTCTACGACGGGGCACGAAGCCATACATGCAAGATATGGTTGCCCTTAAAGAATGATTGAGTTCTCAAACAAAAAAATGACATTTAATTTCTTTGTTGAAGAGTACATTTCTTTAATGAAGCGAGTGTTTAAAAGAAATACAACACTAATGCAACACGATTACTCGTGTAGCTCCCTGGCCCTCGAGAGCAATATGTGTCTGCGTGGCTTCCTTCCTCCTCCCGTCCTGGACTCTTGGTTAAGGAGGCGTCTTCCACGGGTATTTCATCCAGTCGATAAAACGACTTTAACAAACCAATTACAAACCCAAATAATCATAAATCTGTCTTGAATTAATGCAAGCAGACCGCTTGAAAGACGTCTCCGGAAGCATCCTCATCTGTTGCAATTTACAAAAGCATTTATCTGAGCATTAACTTATCACTACTTGCTTCAGCATTGGCTGTTTCATAGAAAATGGTATATGTTCTATTCATAATTCAGAACACCTGAGAGGAAAAAAATCATCGCGATAAATGCTTTTGCAGTGATAGCAACCTTCACGCCACCCAGCCGATATTCCGAACGTTACATTTAAATGTTAACGAGGTACTTCGGATCAGCGTATGTCATTATTTTACAACGTTTCCCATTGTGAATAAAGGGAAGGGAATAGAAACTGCCATGTCCTTATGCAGAAAAAGCATTACTTCCAGGTACAAATGAAGCAATGATCTTTCAGTGACATCTCAAAATGAACAATAAACAAATATCTGAAAAGTAATGAGAGCAAAAAAAGAAAAAAACAAAATACCATATTTTTGGTGTACAAGACGCCCCTTTTCAATAAGAAGTCTCATGCCTCTACATCTTTAATATGTTAATCTTTTAGCCACCCAAGTTATAAGTAGCTGCTCAACATCAGAGAACGGACGATACACGATGATATTCGTCAAATATACGGCCGTATAACCACTGTTTAATGCTAAACCTAATAATTGTTATAATTGGGCAATCGACGCTCGGTTGGTTTTGGATGAGCATGCAACGAGTATGTTCTTGGAAACCGCGAGTAATTGCGCGCACATCAAGTATTCTATATTCTAAACTATTTAATTGTGTCTCAGTAATGAATTATGATTCGTAATAGACTAACTAGACTAGACTAACACCTTTCGTCCTCATACATGTAGGCAAGTAAGGTACTCAAGACATTACAGTTTTTGCTGGCATCTTTAAAGGTGTACAAAGCTGCTTAGAAAAGTGGCTGGAAATGGGCCTATGTAGGTGGAGCGCCTCTGTGATGTCATCAAAGTTTCTAGTTTTCTCGATCGCCCAATTCTGATCAATATGACGGCGACACTTTGAGGAGGGTCACATTTTGTTAATCAGAATTATCAGAAAAGATACACAATTTGTGGAAGTATATATGCAAGCACTAACAAATGGTGAAAGTATAGCCTTTCCTCGTTTCTTTCTTTGAAGATCTCACTGCAAGGAAACCGGATGCTAGAGCCCATTCTGGCAACCATCTAAATTGTCCAAGAATGTCGTCTCTATAATGATTTCTTCGGTTACAAAACAGCGGAAAAAAGTAGTTGACTTTCACTTCTACTTTTAGTACTGTTTACTGGAGGGGTAGGCCTATGACGTAAGAAAACGACTTTCCTGAAGAAATATGGAGCAAATACTAGTGCTCAGAGCAAACGTTAATTATCTTCTCCTTCATTGTTATTTACTTACATCCTGATATATTTAGTACTTTTAAGCGCTGTGGTACGTACACAAGTAATTCAGTAACACCGCATTATTATTTAGTGTTACAAGCAATTTTGTAGCAACTTCGAAACCCACAATACTGATACATGTTTGCCCTTTACGCGCACATTACTGGAACTTGTCCATGTGAACTCAATCGCGGTGGATATGAAAAGGTGCAAAACTTCAAGCAACATATTTCCACTTTTATCATGAAGAACAACGGATGTAACCAGCAAAAAAATGTTTTGTTTGATTTTAAGATATACAT